GGCACCCACCAACAATGCTCCCTCTAAGCTGTGCGGAGTCCTGTGAGCAAAAAATTCTACTTTGTGAGCAACTGGCATTAAAGTCGTGAGCCAGCGATTTGGCTCCTGAATCAATTAGTTTGCTCTGGAGCCATCCTTCGTGAGCTAAAACAAAAATGTGAAACCCAGAGGCTAAAAAAACTGTCAGCTAGCTCACACTAACTCAACTTAGAGGGACAACTGCCCACCAAGTATTTTTAGAAAGTGGGCAAGGCCACGTGGGGCTTTTGCCCAGCAAGGCTTCTAATTGGCCACTGGAGATTTGATTGGCTGGGCAGATTTGTAAAAACACTGCTTTAGCAGCCACTGTGACTGTTTTGTGGCTGGCTCCGCCTCCTGCATCAGACATACTGTGCAAGCTATTTTGAGGTTGCGCTCAGTGCACTGAGTCAAAATTCCAAAGGGGCCTGGAGGCTCAAAAAGGTTGGAGACCCCTGGTTTATGGGTTTGTCTTAAACCGGACTGAGTCAGGAAGGCACGGTTGGTAATTTAAGACAGAATTAGTGCAAAGCATGGGCTTTTTTGTGGTAGTAGATACTGGTACTGGCACCTTTTCGGAGGAACTCTTGGAAGTGCTAATGGGGAAATGGGTGGAAATTGGCACAAATTTTATATATGAGTACTGGCACTTTTTTAAATCAAAAAAGCACTGGTATGCAAGTTTGGTGTAGTGGTTAAGTGCACGGACTGTAATCCGGGAGAACCGGGTTTGATTCCCCACTCCTCCACTTGCACCTGCTGGATAACCTTGGTGCAAGCCATAGTTCTGGCACAGCTGTCCATGAAAAAGAGCAGTTATTGTCAGAGCTCTCTCAGCCCCATCTACCTCACAGGGTGTCTGTTGTGGGGAGGGGAAGGGAAATTGTGTAAGCCGCTCAGAGGCCCCTCGGGGTTCGAGCGGGATACAAGTCGAAAGCATAAATAAATAAATAAATAAATAAATAAATAAATAAATAAATAAATAAATAAATAAATAAATAAATAAATAAATAAATAAATAAATAAATAAATAAATAAATAAATAAATAAATAAATAAATAAATAAATAAATAAATAAATAAATAAATAAATAAATAAATAAATAAATAAATAAATAAATAAATAAATAAATAAATAAATAAATAAATAAATAAATAAATAAATAAATAAATAAATAAATAAATAAATAAATAAATAAATAAATAAATAAATAAATAAATAAATAAATAAATAAATAAATAAATAAATAAATAAATAAATAAATAAATAAATAAATAAATAAATAAATAAATAAATAAATAAATAAATAAATAAATAAATAAATAAATAAATAAATAAATAAATAAATAAATAAATAAATAAATAAATAAATAAATAAATAAATAAATAAATAAATAAATAAATAAATAAATAAATAAATAAATAAATAAATAAATAAATAAATAAATAAATAAATAAATAAATAAATAAATAAATAAATGAGTTTGTAAGCCGCTCTGAGACTCCTTTGGGTAGTGAAGGGCGGGGTATAAATCCAATCTCCTCCTCCTCCTCCTCCTCCTCAGTAAACTTGCCATAAAGCCTGTATGTGGCCAAAGGCTGTAGAAGAGGAGTGAAATGGGAAGTCAGATGACTAAGACTGGGGCAGAACATCTGCCCCTTCCTTTCTACAGATAATTCAAAGCCTGTACATCGCCAGATGTGCAAGTCAAAGGGATTTTCCCCATTTGCCCTTAGCCTGTGGCTCACAGCTGTGGTCTAATATTTACCATGGTGATGGAACCAGCACCAACCTAGAATGCCCTTGTGGCTTATCTAGGGGTTGCCAACTTCCAGGTGGTAGCATCAAACACACAGGGAACACGGCAAAGTTAGACAAACATAAAGGAACACCGTGTTAGAACAAAACACAATCTACTAATATGCACTTGTGTCTTCATATACTGAATTAAATACAACGGAGACCCTAGTATATCTTATACACATTCATTATAGTACAAAAACCTTAAGTACGTTATATATCTACTAATAGAAAAGTCCACAGCTACAGAGACCTATTCCAATGCTGTAGACTATCTTGCTCCTGATAAGAGACTGATGGAGGTTGCAGCAGTCGTAAATGATGAGAGATGCAGCAGGCTGTTATGTTCTGCACAAAAAGTGATTCAGCAAGCATCAAAGCAAGCATGAGAGATGCAGCCAGTGTTCCCTCTAAGCTGAGTTAGTGTGAGCTAGCTCACAGTTTTTTAGTCTCCGGCTCACACATTTTTGTCTCAGCTCAGGAAGGATGGCTCCAGAGCAAACTAATTAATGCAGTAGCCAAATTGCTTGCTCACAACTTTAATGCCAGTAGCTCACAAAGGAGAATTTTTGCTCACAAGACTCCACAGCTTAGAGGGAACATTGGATGCAGCAGGCAGTTACATTTTCCACACAAAGTGGTACGAGCAAGCACCAAAGCAAGCAACACACCTCCTAGGCAAAAACTGCGCGTTTCGACAGATTCTTCTTCAGGCAGACATATTTTTCCTGGAACCAAAGCTCACAATCTTACAGTGCATGAGTCAACAATTCTATAGAAGGCTTCTCCGGTTCTCCTTCTATAGAATTGTTGATCAGCTCCCCTGGAGAAAATGGCCACTTTGGAAGGTGGACTCTATGGCCTCATACCCCATCAAAGTCAAGTCCCTCCCCTCCCCCAAACCCTGCCCTCCCTCAGGCTCCACCCCCCAAATCTCCAGGTATTTCCCAGCCCGAAACTGGTAACCTGGATTCAAGGGTAAGTTGGGCTGTTGGGTTTCATAACTTTATTTGAAGTGGTCGTTTTGTTTGTTTGTGCACTTCATTTTATAAGCCTCTTTGAGTCCTCAGAGTGGGAGACAAGTGGGGTAGAATATTTCACTACATAAATTAAATAACAAGTCAGCATGGTGTAGTGGTTAAGAGCGGTGGACTCTAATTTGGAGAACCCAGTTTGATTCCCCACTCCTCCACATGTACCCAGCTGGGTGACCCTGGGTCAGTCACAGTTCTCTCAGAGCTCTCTCAGCCCCCACCTACCTCACAAGGTGACTGTTGTGGAGAGCAGAAGGGAAGGCGATTGTAAGCCGCTTCGAGACTCCTTAGACAGAGAAAAGTGGGGTATAAAAACCAACTCTGTAACCTTCTTCTAAATGTGCCTCAATTACAAGGTTGTGAGTAGAACTGGGGGAGGGGGACGTTTCATGATCTTTTATGCACACCCTCAAAAGTGTGCACATTTTTTCGATTTGTGGGGGCAAGAGGCATGACAAGCTGTGAAGGACTGAGGGGGGAATTTTGTTGCATTGTGCAGCAAATTCTGTGCAACAAAATCCTACAATGTTTTACGAACAAGATCTGCTACAGAATTATTGTTTATAAGTGATGAATTGTCCATCATAGTTTATGCAATCAGAAATAACAATTCACAATTTACTATTGATAATTTGCGTGTAAGTGACAACAGCTCATGCAGAGCTTCTCGCTTGCATACAATAGTCATTACAGTACATAATGGTCTTGATTATGATGACTTACAGTGCAACATTAATTATTATTAATGCTTTTTTTTTAGGTGCAAAAAAAGATTTTGACGCAAGGCCACAATTTAAAGGAAGCAGCTAAATAAGCTTTCATTAGTGAACAGCTTTTCTCTGCGCATGATTGATGATTTCATCCCTTATTCCTTTCTGTTTGACAAAAAGGACAGTGGAATAGTTAGATGTGCATGTCTTTCTCCACACTTACCCACCTATCGCATTGTCATCCTGCCTTTCCTCCAAGAAACTGAGGGCAGAAAACATGGGCTTCTTCTCCTTTTTATCCTTACAACAACCCCGTGAGGCTGGTTTTTATCCTTACAATGGTTTTTACCCTTACAATTTTGTCCTTACAATAACCCCGTGAGGCTGGTTAAGCTGAGAGAGACTGATTGGCTCAAAGTCGCCCAGAGAGCTTCATGGGAATTTGAGCCTAGGTCTCCTCGGGCCCAGTCCAACCGTGGGGCAGGCAACCACTACCTTGTATGTTGAACAGCTGCATGCCAGACCCTTTTTTTTCTTCTTGGCATAAAGGGCTGGTTCTCTGTCCAAGGGGCTCAGGTGACCCCTGAGACACTGACAGAGGTACTGAGACCCAACTTGTTCCCAGTTTGGTGTAGTGAGAGCCAGTTTGGTGTAGTGGTTAAATGTGTGGACTCTAATCTGGGAGAACCGGGTTTGATTCCCTCATTCTTCCACTTGCATCTGCTGGATGACCTTGGGCAAGCCATAGTTCTGTCAGAGCAGTTCTTGAAAGAGCAGTTCTTGAAAGAGCTCTCTCAGCCCCACCTACCTCACAGCGTGTCTATTGTGGGGAGGGGAAGGGAAAGGAGTTGGTAAGCCGCTCTGTGAAGGGCAGGGTATAAATCCAATCTCTTGTTCTTCTCTTCTTTGGTGTGTCAGGCCAAGTCCAGCCCTTGTCCCTCCTCTCCCTAATGTCTGCTCGCACACCATCCTCTTGTGGTTCTTTGGCCGTTTGTCCAAAATGGTTACCTACACCCTTGCTGTAACCACTGTGCAACACTGGCTCCCATCGGAACAAAGTTCGAGTCCAGTGGCACCTCTAAGACCAACAAAGCTTTATTCAAAGTGTATGGTTTTGTGTGCAAAGCACACTCCTTCAGACAAATTGGAATGAAATCTCCTCAAGGGCTATTTACAGGGGAAAAGAGGGTGGGGGGCGCAGCCGTTAAGTAAGCCATTCTATAAATTCCACAGTATACACCATTCTATTGAAATGAATCACATTTGCATCTCATCTTGTGGCATTACCAAGGCAACAACCCCAACATTAACCAACATTTCCTGCCAAGGATGGCTAACTGGCAGCCGCATCCAGCCTCAGGCACCTGCCAAGCTCGAAGGTAGTGCTCCTGGTTTTACTAATATATTTACACACATATGCGGTGAATAACCACTTACTGCGGACAATCTGGCGCAGTCAGAGTTGACGTCGTATTCTATGTAAGCCACCTCTATGCCCTCCTCCGATCGGCCGTCCTTGGTGTAACAGAGGTCCCTGGTCTGAGTAGCAAGGCGGTTCACCTGGTCCATTGTATAAATGCAGAGTGCAGATTCCTCACTCAGCTTCCCCGAGGAAGCGTGCCAGGCGGAAAAGGCAGTGAAGAGGACGTCTCCCTGGGCCGCGCCCAGCTCGCCTTCCCCGCCCGGCTGTGCAACATAGGCAGCCTGCAGGAGGCTGTAAGTCTTCTCTTTGCTCCGGCAGAGCAACGGCAACTCTACGTAGGAGTAATAGTGAGAGTCGTCCAGGCAGATCCTAGAAATGTAGGTCCTGTACTCGCGAGACAGTGACTTGAGATCCCGCCGGTAAAACAGGAAGTAGACGCTGGAGCCGTGAGTAAAACTTTTGATAAAATGGTGGTTATATTCCGAGAGCCGGCCCACAGCCAGCTTTGCTGTTTCTTCATAGGAGAAGATGGAGTGAGAGTCCGATCCAGGGGCCTCTCCAGGGTGGGCCCTGAGATTCCGGGTCGTGACGGGAGGAATGCTGCCACCTACTCCTCGACTGGTGTAACCTCGACCCACGAACAACAGCGGCACGTGGTCTTTGGAGTACCCTACGAGGCCCACGGTGGAAATATTGGGATCGTTTGCTGCTACGTACTGAGTGTCTCCTGGCGTCCAGGGTTGGAAGATAACATGGTTAATGAAGCCAAGGTTCCTCTTCTCACAGATCCCTTGCCATACACTGCCGCACACTATAAGCTCCTTCTCCAGTGAGTTGATCAAGAGCAGCTTGTTGTAATTGTCCGTCTCCTGGGCCTGGGGACAGTCCTGCTTTGTGACAGGAGGAAGGCAATCCTTGCTGTCTAAGGAAGGCCCCGTGGGGACAGCCTCCTCCATCACCAGGTCCGCTGTCATCTGGAAGAGGAAGTTGGTAGCCCCCAGATAGAGAGTCCCAGACTCAGAATCCATAATCAGGTGAAGAAACTTGGTTGTGTTGTATGAAAAGGTGGCATACTGCAGCCCTTCTGGAATGACAGCCCCCAGGAAACACAGAGCAGAAAGGAGGGACCCCAGAGGCATCATAATCATTCTGCAAGAAACAAAGGAGAAAGAGGGTGGTTAACTTTTTTGCTGATTTCAAAGCCTGGGGACGATAAAAAAACATGATAGTATTTCTCCCCCCCTGCCATCGAGTCACAGCCAACTAACGGCAACCCCATTGGGCTTTCAAGGCAAGAGACGTTCAGAGGGGTTTTGCCATTGCCTGCCTCTGCAGAGTAAACCCTGGACTTCTTCAGCATTCTCCCATCGAAACAGAACCAGCCCTGCCTTGGCTTCTGAGATCTGACGAGTTTGGGCATCACCGTACCTGCCCAGCATCACTAAACGGGAGTCCTATGGTACCTTAAAGACTAACAAGATTTTATTCCATCATAGCTTATGGACTACAGCCCTCTTCGAATATACAATTTGGGTGACACTACATGTATGAGATGAAGCAGGCTGCAGTTCACCAGCACTTAGGCTGGAGTAAAATCTTGACATTCTTTATGGCTCCTGTTAATTTTGCTGCAACCGACTACCTACCCCTCTGGCAGAGGTCATTTCGGGGGGGGGAACGCGGGGGATCGCAGTTCCCCCGGGTGAGGTGCAGGGGGCGGGGCACATGACGAAGCCCCGCCCCCTGCTTCCGGCCGTCCCGCTTCCAGCCTTCATTCAGCCAGGAGGAGGCAGGAGAAGAGGGAGGGTAAGTTGCTTCCTCCCTGCCTCTCCCCACCCCTGCCTGCCTGGGGCCAGGGAGGGCCTTGGCGGGGCTTCCTCGCACTTCGCTGGCCTTGCAGGTCCACCGCCGGGCCCCTGATGTCAGGGGGTGTGGCATATGCTAATGAGTTATGATAATGAGTTCCCCTAGCTCTTTTTCTACGAAATGACCCCTGCCCTCTGGAATTATCTACCGTGGATTCTGATGAACATATGTCAGAGGGAAGCAAATTTGCAAGCAAGCAATCAGCACAGTTTGTTGAAGTTAAAGTTGGGGGACTCATTTCACTGAGTCTTCAAGGAGAGGGGCTGTGGCTCAGTGGCAAAGCACCTGCTTGGCATGCAGAAGGTCCCCAGTTCAATCCCTGGCATCTCCAGTTAAAAAGGAGCAGGCGCTAGGTGATATGAAAGATCTCTCACTGCCTGAGACCCTGGAGAGCGGCTGGCAGTCTGAGTAGACTGTGATGGACCAGGGGTCTGATTCAGTATAAGGCAGCTTTGTGTGTGTTCATGTGTGAGATGCATGAACTCCAAGATAAATAAAACACTCATTTTGCATCAAGGTAATTAAAATCAGAACAAGCATACATTTGTACAGATCTGCATTTATATTGACTGGTAAGGTGGAAAGAAAGGGAGCTACCGAAATATCAGAAATCCCCCTCATCCTCTCTTCAGCTTCTTGGATTTCATTCTAAATAGCCCATACCTGTGGATTCTATGCGATTCTACAATTCGACCACTGGTCCAGTTGGAGACAAGGGACAGCATAAGGGAGAGAACTCTACCAGGAAAACCACTACCATTCTGTTGTGTTCAATAAGGGTGGATTTAAAAAAAACAAAACACAACTTTTTTATTTTAACCGTAATTCTACAGGAAATAGCAGTAGAATGTAAAGGTGACCAGCAGTACAGTACTATGCAGTTCAGAACCACTGAAATCAATGGGTTTAGACTGGAGTAATTCAGCATAAGACTGTTCTATGAAAGGATCACTGGCAGAAAAAAAAAATTTCAATAAAGGTGGGGGGAGGGTAAGGAGGGCTGAGGAAAGGTGGACAGATAACAAGCCAATCCTAAATAGAATTACCCTTCTAAGCCCAGTGAAGTCAATGAGTTCAGAATGGCATAACTCTATATAGGACCGCATTACAACTTGTGCAGTTATACGTCTGTTAACTCAGATAAGTCCCACTTTATTCAATTAGGCTTACTCCCAGGTAAGGGTGCATTAGGACTGCAGCCAGAGTCTCAAGCTAATCGATAGCTAGAGAAACAAAGTACCATCAAGAAGAAGAGAATGGCAGATTATGTTTGCAATGTTTGGCGTCCACTTCTCTCGTCTTTATGGACTCCTCTTCACAAACCCAGTCAGGATATTTCAGAAAAGAGAAAGCCAGGAAAAGGGGCTGAGAGAGGTAGAGAAATAGAGGAAAACAACCAAATGCAAAAGAGCAGCAAACGCGTATGCTTTTGATAGCCACAGTTTTTTCGCCCCCGCATGAGAGCGGCGCCTGCCAAGATTGCCTCTTCTGTACAGGAGCCCTGCCTGCCTTTCCATCAGGTTACCCGAAAGAGTAGGGATACCAGCTCTGAGCTGAGTAATACCTGGAGATTTGAGGGGTGGAGCCTGGGGAGGACAGAGTTTGGGGAGAGGAAGGACTAATGGGTCTAATGCCACAGAGCTCACCCTCCAAAACGGCCATTTCCTCCAGGGGGAACTGATCTCAGTCGTCTGGAGATCAAGTGCAGTAGCGGGAGATCTCCAGGCTCCACCTAGAGACTTGCAGCCCGATAAAAGAGAGTGGAAGAGGAAGACAGAGGACGGGCAAAATAAGCAACTAAAAGTGGGTCCCATTGTGCAGGGAGAGGCTAGAGGTGGGTCTGAGAAATTTGGCCGACACTTTTAAAGGTTATATTGACAGCTATTACCACAAGGACTTTAAAAAAAAAAAACTGAAAATTTGACATTTGCCAGATTCTGAGTTCTGTGTTCAGGACCAAATACCACGTTTGTGCAATGCAGACCTTCACATTATTACACTTTTTCTTTTTTTTACACTGAGAAGCTCATCAAAGCTTGACCAATAGGCCAATAATTAGAATCTGAGCCCAAAGGCTCTGGGAGTAGACAGTGCAATGGAAATCTGTATTCATATGTTTAAATGTGCGTGTATTTCATGGCTTACAAGTTGCTTACCACCCTTGCCTTCACTGTGATTTCAAACGAGCGAATACCTGTGGGGAACCTCCAGGCTACTGTCACGTACGGGCCAGCACTTATTAAACCTGCTCTTATCATTGGAGAAAAGCCCAATATAGTTTTATGCCAAAGCTGATTATGAAAACCTGATCTTAATATTGCAAATCAGGAGGGGGTAACATGCTCTAACGCCTCACGTGTGACTCACAAATTGTTCCAGTGCTGCTCACTCCAGAGCACCCAGGAATGTTCTGACTTCATTCATTTTCTTGCCACACACTGGGATTAAGGGAGTGTAAACAGAGAATGAGATGGTTTATCTGTACAGTATCACTGTTTCCTACCCAGATCCGCAACAATGATTTCTGATCAGGCATGCCTTGTGAGTTCCTTGCTGGAAACCCTCAATTTCCAGGCACGCATGGGTCGAACTCGGAATGGGACTGTGGCGGTAAGCAGAGGGGGTTTCAGCCTCCCTCCTGTGCCCTTCTCCCAACTTGAAAGGGCCTCTGCCCAGAAGCCCTTCACCAGGTGGGGGAAACTTACATGTCGCTGTCATTACTTGTAAGTTTCCCCAGCAGGGCAAAACAGGCTCCTTGGGGCCATTTCAGATCAGGAAAAACAACATGGGACCGTGGTCCCTATCTGAATGGGAGCCTTGGACACTGAGTTTCCAGCACAGAACTTGCAAGGCACATCTAACTGAATGACTTCGGTGAACCCACGGATAATGTGAGAATAAGGTAACGTACAGTTCATCTTAATTAGGGTTGCCAATTCTGGGTTCAGAAATACCCGGAGATTTGAGAGTGGAGCCTGGGAGAGGGGGGTTTAGGGGAGGAAGGGACATTGGTAGGGTTATAATGCCACACAGTCTACTTTCTAAAGCAGCTGTTTTCTCTGGGAGAAATGGAATAAATGTTTTAAATAAATAAATAAGCAACGTATGTAGTCTGGAGATTAGCTGGAATTCTGGGAGATCTCCAGACCCCACCTGGAGGCTGGCAACCCTATGATATAAACTTGCCTTATACGAAACCAGACCACTGGTGTATCTAGGCTCGTACTCTTCCCTCCAGCTGGCAGCAGTCCTCCAGGCATTTTACACCTCTGCTGCCCGAGAGGCAAAGGACAGAAGAGGCAACACAATATATGAAAGGCCTGGGATCCACCACTGAGCTTTGGCCTCCCTCTGCGGGTGGGAAGGGCCATTAAGTTGCAGCTAACATGGCAAACAATCCCTTAGGATTTTTGACATAAGAGGTGGTTTGCCATTGCCTGCCTCTGGTCCCTGCCACGGGATGGGGGGGGGGGAGTACGGCCAAAGTGCGGCTTTTCAAAGCCGCACCAAAAGAGATATGCGGCGGCAGGATCACACAGATCCCCTGAGCCACCGCGCAGTTCCTCCCCGGCATGATCAGATGCCAGGGGGAAGCCACTTAAAGGAGAGCGAGGCAGCCGAACTGCGCATGTGTGCGCGTGCGCAGTTCGGCCGGGAGCCTCAATTGCTCCTGCAGACAAGTGCGCCAGCGATCTCACGGCCGCGCTTGCTGCGGTGCTTCAGGTAAGTCCTACCAGTTAGTAGGTTCTTTTTTGCACCACATTTTCATTCTGAAGGGACGGATTGGGAACGGGTGCTGCACCCCCGATCCATCCCTCTTCTGGGCCAAAACCTCCCGTGTGACCGGGGCCTCTGTGTAGCAACCCTTGACTTCTATGGTGGTTTCCCATCCAAGTATTAACCAGGACCGACCCTGCTTAGCTTCCAAGATCTGACAAGATGGGACTAGCCTGGGCTATTCAGGTCATGGCCTGCTTCCTGTATATTGGGCCATATGCTCAAGATCAGGAAGAGAGGAAGAGGAAGAAGAGGAGATTGGATTTATACCCCGCCCTTCACTACCCAAAGGAGTCTCAGAGTGGCTTGCAAACTCCTTTCCCTTCCCCTTCCCACAACAGACACCCTATGAGGTAGGTGGAGCTGAGAGAGCTCTGGCAGAAATTGCTTTTTCAAGAACAGCTCTTATCAGAACTATGGCTCTCCCAAGGTCATCCAGCCAGGTGCAAGTAGAGGAGTTGGGAATCAAACCCGTTCTCCCAGATTAGAGTCTGTGCACTTAACCA